ATAAAAGTGACATCTACCAGTCATAAGATTTGCGTTTTCCCTGTATTTTATTTTTAACAACATCAGTTTTCCACAGCATTTCTATGAACAACAAAAAAATTGTTGTGTCATTTAAATCTACCAATCAATATAAATTCAATTTGAATACAATGAATGGGATTCCGTGCTGTTTCATGCTGCATTCCAAGCTTCAAAATGAATCCAAACACACCAAACATATCATAAAAGCAGCCAAAACAACTGGCACAATTTTCCAAGTTATACAATAGATTTGTTTAATGAATGGACCAAACTTTAAGTGATTACTTCACTGATAATCCTCTCTATGGAGAAGTGATCGGCACAAAATAATCACTGAGTCAAAATTGACAGGGCTCGTTTCCTAAAGCAACTACGGTCGCAACTAATTTAATGTCGTTATAGTTCAATGTAATTTAACAAACATAGTTTGCTAACGATGCTTTTGGGAAACACACCCCAGATCTATCCAGTTTAATGTGAACCATTCACACTGGTTTCATTAAACAAAAGCAATGATTCATTTGAAAGATTGAATCAAAAGAATCATCTGTTCACAAATCGGATCATGAACTCGCATTACCGCGCCAAAGATGATCTATTCCTGAACATTTTGAATGAATAAAGACTTCAAGTTAATCTGTAAAGCACACAAAGCTATCGTTTGACTTTATAAACTTTTATTTCATGATTCGTATGGATCTGTTAACTGAATGCAAAGTGTGAATTCTAGGAGAATTCGTTGTCATTTTTCAATTAAATTCTTAGAAATATTAAACGTAATGATAACCAATCAACACTCAAAATATGAGAAAATAGAAAAACGAGTTACTGGATAACATTTTTCAAAGATCAAGAACAACTTCCCTCAAGATGCTTTTTCAGATAGACGTTGAATCCTTCGATGCTGATAGAAGTTTTGTTGCAGGTAGGCATTGCATTGAGCTGAGATGTTACGTCCTTTTTCAGATTTATAAGTAAATAGTCTTTGTATTTCCATGAGAGAAATGCATTACGCGATTGGCTTTCTGTTGTGTCATCCATTTTTGTATCGTGATTTTGAGCGTATGCACTCTCACTATGAGTTGCTAAATGAACGGGCTGCTACATGCAGTTTTTTTTTTTCAATGGAGAATCAGTTGCCTTATTGGTTAAAATCCCCAAACTTAAATATTAAATTAAGAAATTACATTAAAATTCAAAGTAATCACTTTGGTAATCTAAAATACTTTTCGGATGTAACTGTAATTTGATTACCACCTATTTAAAATGTGATTATAACGAAATACAGTTACTCATATTTTGTATTTTAAATATGTAACGCCGTTACATGTATTTCGTTACTTCCCAGCTCTGGCGTTTATATGCCGCGTGTCTCACATGGACTATTGTAATATCAAAAGCGAAAGTAGCGCATGGGCGTGATCTAATTAGAGATAATAAAGTCAGACGGGAATGACTGGACAATGCGTTGGTTTCATATGGATTATTTTATCACAGAATATTGTTTTCGATAAGATTTGCTTCATTTAAAAGTAGACATGTTAAGCTTTCTATAGATATATCTCTCATGTCTTTGTGTCGAGTATTCGCTGAGTATTAGTTCATTTTAGTGACGCATTTCTAAATGAAGATCACGGAGACCAAGGCGGCAGACAGCGCACCCTGTTTGTTTTCTTTATTTTACAAAAGCACAAAGTTTTGTTGTTATTATGTGTATATACAAATAAAAGTAGACCCTTTACAGATTCGATTGATGTATTGCTATTATCTGTACGATCAAAACTAACGGAGTAATTTAAGTTCCTTTAGGGGCTTTCAAAAAAAACTGCAACAAAATGCGCCTGTGTGTTTGTCGACCCCAGAGGGCAGGTTAAGCAACGTGCTTGTTGCATATCCTCGATTGCTCAGCTTGGGGTGACGCTTCCCCCTTAACCCTTGTGTGGTGTTCATATTTTTGTTACTCAGCCAGTGTTCGTGGGTCTGGTGGACCCGCTGCAGTTTTGGGTTGTTAATTCAACACAATTTAAAATTATATGTTAAAATACTCAACAGATGTTTTCTTCATCCCAGTTACAAGCAATATAAACAGCATATATGTTCAAAATTTGCCCTTTACCTTTGTTAGATAACATTTATGAATTAAAGTGCTACAACCTTGTGCTGGAATGGCAGGGGCAGAAACACAAAACTCAAACTTTTACAGACTCTCTCTCTCACACACATACACACACACACACACATAAATACACATACTAATAGCAGTCCCAGACAATAGGAGGACAGAGTGAAGGTACACAGGACCTAAAATTTCTACTCTTTTATTAGCCCTGGGTCCAGTGGACCCCAACATCCTGTATGTAATATAATTGTGTGTAATACACTTTAATTTAATGAAGAATAATATGCTGCGCACAGAACACATGCAAAAATTAGTTGGGAAAACCATTTGTTTAGCAAATGCAAAATAAAGGTATATTATATCAATATAGAGTTGGCGCGCTATAGATTTAGAACCGGAGCTGGCAGTTTACAGTTTAATAGAAAGAGTAGTATGTGCGCCAAATCAGTCGCTGTAGAAATCGAATACTTTAACAGTTGCGGACGAAATAGCTCAACATGTGAGCCAACGCAAATGCAGGGACGTGAAATAAAACTGTTTTAAAAGAAGAGTTGCTTGACTAAGTAATACATAGTGGATGATGGGCACAGAACGGTAACAAAACTCTGAGACATTTAAAAGCCACACCAGGTGTAGTAATGTGCAAACTCTACTACATAGGGATGTTTTAGATACTCTAACTATTAGAATTCACATTCACATTTTTTAAAAGGGTCATATGACGTTGTTAAAAATAGCATTATTTTGTGTATTTGGTGTAATGCAATGTGTTTATGCCGTTTAAGGTTAAAAAAACAAATTATTTTCCATATAATGTACATTATTGTTTCTCCTCTATGCCCCGCCTTTCTGAAACACGTTGATTTTTACAAAGCTCATCATTCTAAAAAAGCGAGGTGTGCTCTGATTGGCCAGCTATCCAGTGCGTTGTGATTGGCCGAATGCCTCAAGCGTGTGACGGAAATGTTACGCCCCTTAACATACTTTGATGCTGTTTCCCAGCAGGATGAGACAAAACCAATAAAACCCATTACAAATTAGGCATTTGTTGCATCCAGTGGGGACATAATTACTGATTATAATGACTTATACTGTCTTTTTACGCGTTGCGTATCATGCTGCGTAAACATAAAACCATGTCTGCATTTGTGATTGGAGAAACAACAAGCCTCTACACTGCTCAAAACTCACGTTTGAATCATCAGTGGCAAATTATTTAATTATAAAAAACATACTTACAGGCTATGAGTCAGAAGTGCCAGACTGTCCTTGCAAAGTTGGAACTGCCCAACTTTATAGAAACAGCCTTTGTGCCACAGACACATTGTAGGCTACTCTCCCATGAAACAGTCCTCATCCTCCATAAAATGCACAGCACACATCTGAATATTTGGGTTGAACTGTTCTGGAACAGTGTTGTAATTACAACTTAACCACCGATTTCTAGTTGTGTCCTCTTTTGGAAGGCCAAACAAAGTAGTTTCGCTTTCACAACGAAACACACTGCGACTCCACAACATGGCAGCGGCAGCAACAGCAAGAATTAAAGTTACACCTTCTTTCTTTGCGTGAACATTTGGGCGACGTTATGCAAATCTTCCCACATCGTGACGTAGACATGTGGGGGCGTGTTAGAATGAGCCGTTTTAGGTAGGAGTGGTTGACTCTTAACTTTTATAAAGAATATCTCTTTGGATTTGAGACTTTAGTCTTTGAAACTTTACAGATCTTTATGCACCAAGAGCTTGTAACACTCCAAAGAGAAAGGAAAAATTTAAATCGCATCATATGACCTCTTTAAAACAATATCAGTTTAAATGCTTTGTATTCTATTCTATTCTATTGTCAGTTTAAATGCTTCAATTTGTATTATATTACAGTTTCAATTTATATTATATTACAGTATATTATGTTATATAATATTATATAAACCTAATAATTGACCTCAAAAAAAAAAATTTGTCATATTATATTATATTATTATAGGCCTATTATATAATTATAAAGAATCAAACTGTTCTGCGTGATTTTTAATATAATTTCTTGTTAGCACTGTAAAAAACGTTTTCTCAGGTAACCTAAAATGTGCATCATTTAGTTACATCAAGGGTCAAATCAAATATAAATAGTACATTAAAGTTAAAAGTTGCATACTCTTTTTGTGTGTGTGCACGCGCTGTACAGGTTTGGTGTAAAGAATGTTTTTGCTCAGGTGGCCGAAATGTCCACCCAATAGAGAAAAGTTTTGCTCAGCAAGAAAAAAAATTAGAGGGAATATTGGTCATCGCCAGTGTCATCTTCAGTCAAATCACATTTTACACTCGGAGTCGGAGTCACCAACAGGTCCAAATATTTAGTGTGCTTCTCTCAGATTGTGTCTTTGATAACACACACTATGTGATTGGGGCTAAAATTGTGCAGTGTGTGCCCAGCATAAGACACTCACAGTTATACAAGAACTCACACAGAAGAGAGGGAGGTTAAATAGGGCAGCAAATGAAATGAATGTTAAGGGAGAGCAGGTGGGGCAAATGAACTATTAACAAGATTACAAGAGGGCAGGGAAAAGACATGAGATAGAAGAGCATATGGTAAATAGAAACAAACATGACAGAAGCCAAGTGTTCACACCAAAAATGACATGATTGCAGACAGAAGTGTCAGGATCCATACCCTACACTCCAACACAAAAGGGACAGGAGAGCATACAGCCAAGGAGACCTGCCCCAATCTATGTGCTCAACTAGACACAAAATACAAAATCATGGGTGTCAGGACTCTGTCACCACATATAACAGACAAAAGTGACCAGACAGTGACAGGGAACTACCTGATTTGTTCTTCCCCTTCTTTTACACAGTATGAGCAATTTGAGAGCACCATTGGCTTCAAGCTTTCTAATCACAGAGCCGCCAAGAGGCTATGGAAGGTTTGCATTGAACACCACACCTTTTTCAGGTAAACTAGCTGGACTAATTTGATTTATATAATTTTGTTATCAACATTGTAGTCATGTTAATGTTAATGTGGCAGCCTTTATTTTACTTCACATTTCTTAATGACAAACCTTGGGTCACCATTGTCCTATGAATTCACCTTTTAGCTGTCATTTGTGTTTGACCTCCTAATGCCTGAAGCTGTCACACTATTGAATATGTTTTGTTTCCCTCATTTGCATGAAATTTAAATGGCATCAATGGAGAACATAGTTTAGTGTGGCTATGTCTTGATAGTCATACTGCCTTTTTTTAAATATATGAAAGTTTAGGAATGATTAATATTGATAAAGAATCTCAGATTGAATGCCTCTGTTGGCATATCCTCTATTGCTCCAGGTATGTTATTATAAAGACCAGAATACCATAGAGACTTGGTGGTGGGCTATTTTGACTTGGGACAATTACCTATCAATCACTGTGTAGCTTTTAATTAATACAGGGGGTTGTTTTTTCAGAACCTTCTGATGCAGATTATTAATTACGTCAATATCAGTAAACCAATAACCTTTTCCTGTATTGGTCTGTTTTAGGCTAGTGTCCCCTGAGCCACCACCAAAGGGCTTTCTGGTGATGGGTTCAAAGTTCAGATACAGTGGAAGGACCCAGGCCCAGACACGGCAGGCCAGCGCTCTGATCGATCGGCCCGCTCCCCATATTGAACGGTCCACTAGCAAGAGATACCTTCTTTCTCGCAGTCTAGATGGAGGTTAGAACACTTTTGTTTTCCTCTACTTTGTCTTTTGCTGTAGCAAAATTGTCTCGATATTGTAGCTTTTCACTACTTTCAGTCTTTCACAGTGGACACAGTTAATCTAGGAGTTAAGTATAGTAGCACATACCTTATTCAGTGGTGACCATGTCACTACAATTATTATGAGGAATCTTTAAAAAACAACCATTGAACATTTTGCTGAACTGTTGTTGGACTGCAGGAAACATGGAATATCATAATAATAAGTCATAACACAATTGTACTTCAAAACTGTAAGAAGATACAGAAAAGTTACAAAAAAAATAAAATTAAGCAAATTATCTTTATACACAACTGTCACATGATATTATAAAAAACACATTGTGCCATCCTTAATTTAAAATTTTCCTGTGTTTCCTGTAATTGAGTGGCTTGTCAGAATATTATATTTCTCTAATACATAAATTAAGTAAGCATGACCAAAGTCCTTATAGGGAAAATAATTTACTGAAGGTAGTAGTGTAGCACATTTCTTTAGTATCAAAGTTAGAATGAAAGCCTCTAAAGAATCGTAACCTTCTGCACGTGGGACAGAACGAATACATAATCAATAGATACAGTACAGCTAGGACCTTCCACTGGAGATGCTGTAATACACAGGACAGCTGTAATAAACAAGACACAGGATATGCTTTAGGAAAGAGGTTTGGCTAAGTGACATTTACAGTGTCATTACTCAGCTACAGTTAGTTCGGTGTTGATTCAGTTGAGTTATAAATAAAGGTAATTTTAGCGATAAGCAGCTCAACTGTCTTCATAAATCAATTTATAAATAAATTATAAACAAATATAATTCAAATATAAAGCAGCTGTTTATAAGACATTAGGGTTAATGTTCAGCTCAATTCATTTCAAGTTTTGTTACGATCCGATATAGTGTCAATGCCGTCAGATTGACAATATTACTGAATATCAAGTGTCTTTTAAACTGCAACTAAGCAAGCCAAAAAATGACAGCGACAAGGAACCTGAACTCTGTCCGGTGACAGAAATTAACAAAAAAAACTTTCCAAAAGAATGTTGTAGTCAATAGTGTCAAAGGCAGTAGTACTAAGGTCTAGTAATACTAATAGAGAGATGCAACCATGATCGGACAATACAAGCAACTCATTTGTAACTCTGATAAGTGCAGTTTCAGAACTATGATATGATCTAAATCCTGACTGAAATTCCTTGCAGACACCATTCCTTTTCAAAAAGGAATATAGAAGGATTCCTCTTTTTCTAGCATTTTTGAAAAGAAAAAAAAATGTTTAGATCATTTTGAGATTTAAACAATGAACATTTAAGATAATTCTGTAGTCAACTAATTGTTTAGAATAAAGTTGTTTTTTTAGCTCTGTAGCGAATCAGCTCATGGGAAATATGAATAATTAACCATAACTAGTTATAATTAACTATTCATATTTTAGATCCACTGTAGATATTTAGCTGACCACTCAGGGTCAACCGTCTTGTCAATTCTAAGAACGTTAATTTCCTGGTTAAAGGAAATAACTTTCTTACTGTACAATTCTATAAGTTTGTAACGTAAATCTGCATGATTATTGACTCCGGTTATGAGTAAACAATGAACACGTCAAGTGTGATACAAGTAAGGTTTTATTAACTACATAAACACTTAAACTAGTCTAACATACTACA